ATGACTCATAAAGAACATGAACCAAATCATTAATGATTACTGCATCAGCAACTAATAAAGATTCTATATGATTAATAGATTAAGTAACATATGAATTTATATTAGTTAAATGTGTCATAATGTATTAATTCCTTAATAACATATTGTATTAACTAATAGTGTAAATGAATGTGTTAATTACCACAATTAGTCAAAGCTATGTACTTCAACTTCCAGTTGTCTGCTTTAATTAATCATTAACTAATGATTTGCAAATGTATCATTCTGTTATGACTTTACCTGTTACGGCACATGACTAATTGTTAAGTAATATGTCATTTATGAGTTTTGACAGTTGCACATGCAGTGAATGTAATGCCAGAGAATGTGTGTGAAGGATGAGGAAGTTGGGCTGCACACAAATATCAGCACACCAGAATCTGAACTACTGACAGCTGTTATACTTTGTTTAAATTGGACGCGAGTATTATCATGTCATGCCACTACAACTATCTAAACTGGACATGACAGACCATTGCAAGTCTATTTGTCCTTCATACCAGAAATAGCACAAGAGCTTGGAGTATGTCAGAAATAGAGCGTGGCATCAGTTTACTGTCTGGGTTTTGTTGTGTTGTGTAGAGTCGTGCCGCATCCAGCGTAGCATCACTATCTAGTGTTATGAAATAGCAGTGGCCGGCCGCATGTTCTCAGTGTTCCCCCTTTGAATCCTAGACCTCAAGCTTAACCTGACATATTCCAGTGCCATGAACAACAAGGTACTGGTACTGTTTGTAGATGGTTGGAAATTGAAATCCATGGCTTAGTGTGGATGTCAAAACCATAATAGCATATTACTTACCAATTAGTTAAAAGTCATGTGCCTCAATAAGTTGAGTCATAACATAATGACACCTGCAAATCATTAGCTAATGATTAATTAATGGAGACAATTCGAAGTTGAAATACATGGTTAATTGTGGTAATTAACATTAATGTAAACTATTAATACAATTGTTACATGTGTGTCCTGTGTTTCCCCCGTTCTTTGTGTATTTGGTTCAGTCCTGTTTCCATTTTCCCGCTCCTCGTTACTGTTTAGTTAATTCACCTGTTTACCTGTCATTGTCAGTTCATTTGCCCCAGCTGTGCCTTGTTTCCCCAATCTGTTCTATGTGTATTTAAACCCTGTGTTCTCCCTCACTCCTGGTTGGTTATTGTTTGTGTTACCTTGGTGTGTTTATCCTCTGCCCGTCTGCCTGCCTATACCTGTTTCTTGAGTTGTTTAATAGTAAAGTTTATTGAATTGGAAATCTGGACTCTTGTCTTCATCTACCTTCATCACACCCATAACAACAATATGTTATTAAAGAGGCTATATGATTTTTCTGAAATTTAAACTCGCGACTGACACCTGTGGCCAAAAAACAGAACTGCTCTTCCTTTCTGCTCACTCTCGCAGCGCGCGCTCGTACGTGCACACTTCACTAACAGCATTTACAAGTGAACTGAAAACAACACAGTGCTATTTCAATGAACAGTTTTATCACGTGTTACCTTTTCAGAAGAAAAAAAGCCATTTCTGGGTCATTTCGTATTCCCAACACAGATCTGAGATCCCTCCAAGGCTCAAATGCGAAGCCAACGTTCACTCTAGTTCTTGCTCGGCGCCGGTCGCTCTCAATCTTCGATCTTTTTCGGCCACTTGTCAGGGGTTTAACTTTTTTAGTCTTCTGTGGAGTTACTGTTGGTGTCCGAGTTGTCCTGGGTCTCTCCTGTGTATTCGCAAAATCCATTGCACTGCTTGCGAGTGTAGGCTACTTGCTGACTAGCGGTGGTGGCAGAGTGATCTGAAACGTTTAACATGAATACTTGCCATCTCATATTCTGTATAATTGGATGTTTTTAAATAAACACTGACCAAAATATACAAGTTTTAGGGCTGGATGATATGATGATATAACATTGATATTTAAGTGATCACATGGATTTAGACCTACCTATATTGTGTATATATATAAAGCGTTCACAGGCAAATTTGCTGTATGTATTTCCACTGCGTCGAAATCAGGGTCATATAAATGTCATGAAACACGATTTCTGGCTGAAATGGGGACAAAATGAGGTCCCGTCCTATATTCTTTCTCGCTTGAGAAGCCTCTCGACTCGGATAGTCACAATAGGGAAGAAACAACAATCACAAATGTTTCATGCTGCATTTAAAACTGGATAGGAGAATTTTAACATTCAAATATTTTAACATTCAAATATTGACACACATCAGGTTTAAAAAAACGTTTGTTAACACAAACTTTGATGTTGACGAGAAGGCCTGGCCATAAAGTTATTTTCACATTATATTGGCTTGACGTTCAAAGGTTTTAAGTAGTTTTAAAAGCGTGAATTTAAAAGCCATGTAGCTGTCATTTATGTTCAGTTAGTTTGCTGTCATGACGGCTAGTTTGTTTTTATTCATCACATGTGTTTCGTTGTCTGCGTTTGCCGCCACTGATCTGTTACCATGGACACTAACACTAATCATCACAGCTGTTCGTCTTTTAGTTAATCAGTGTATTTAAGTTCCTACCTTTGTTCTGTTCATTGTCCAGTATTGTTCGTGTTTACACGCTGTCTCGCATGTTGGCTGTCTATCCTTACTTAAATAAACCTTGTATTATATTGTCATCATCTTCATCTTCCATTGGATTGAGCGTTACAGAATACCGGACCAATTAAATTGGGATTACTCCATGAAATTCGCTGCAGTGGCTCAGAAGAGCTACAAATTTTGTATCTTTTCAGAGGAGTTTTGCAGTCTCGCTATCCCCTGCCCTTTTGATGACGAGACTCTGAAGTCACTGTTCTGGATCGGGGCAAATTACCATCACCCCGTTGACACTTCTGTACTGAACTGGCAAGAAGCCATCATCAGGTGTCTGGAGAGCGTCCATCCTGGATCCAGGACACAGCCAGACCCAGAGCCCGAATCACCACCTTCTACTGAGGAAGATTCGTGTGAGCCCCCCGCAGACGGAGAGCTACCGCCTGCCGCGACGCATCAGCCAGAGCCCGAAGAGAAGAGGACAGCGCTGACCCTTGCCCCGGAAGTGGAGCTCCACAGGGAGTCTAACCAGGGGGGTGTGAGCCCGCGACATCAGCAGACGAGGAAGTAGTGACAGCGTAAAATGATAGACTGGCTGATAGACTTCAATCAGGATGAATTGACCCCCACCCTATCCCCCCCTTCATCGCTTTTTCTGGATAGCACTAAGGACTGAATGAACTATGATCTCTTCACTTTATCGATCTGCATGGAGTGTGTTATCCTTACCGTGGTTCTGTCAAGTTTTGTGGCACCGCGAATCTCAGCCAGTCCTCCAGCCCCGCCGCTGCCGGAGGTCTACAGCCCTGTGCCGTCTCCGGGTAGTCCCTGTGACGCCGAGCCGCAGGTTGTGCATCCCCCTGCAGCGCCAGTGCGAGAGTATCCAGTGGCTCTGCCTCCGGCCTCTGATCTCTTCGCTCCATCTCGGCCTTCACTGTGGCTCATCCCACCTTCGGCTCCACCAGAAACCCTCGTCCTGCTGGTTCCCCCATGGTCAGTCGCCACTCTACTTCCACCACGGACTTACAGGCCATCCGCTGCGCTCCGTCCCTCCACCCCGACGGCTGCAGTGGGTTCCTCCTTCCCCTCGACATCGCCTCTGTCCTCCGTCACACCGGCTCCACCTCAGCCCCTCGTGTGCTCTGGCTCTGCTTTCAAAGTTCGTTGCTGCGGAATCACCTTGGTCTCCAGTGCCAGCGATGTCGCTCGTTTCCATCAGCTCTCCGTCTGTGCCTGTGGATCCATCGGCCTTGTCTCCGTTCGGCCGTCCCCCAGTTGTCGTCAGCCTCTGCACCACTGTGGCTCCTCCCTCCCTCTGTGGGTTGTCGGCACTGGCAAGCTCTGGGCTTGTTCTAGCGGATCTCAACATTTCCGCCAGGGGATCGTCGTCATCACTTCACTCCTCTGTCATCTACTGTCACCATCCCTTCACCAGCTCCTCGTCCACCTCCTAAACCCCACCCATCCCTCCCTCTGCCATCTTTTTGTTATGGCGTGCCTTGCTGGAGGGGGGGGGGGGGGGGTGTTTCTTTGTCTGTGTTTGCCGCCACTGATCTGTTACCATGGACACAAACACTTATCATCACAGCTGTTCGTCTTTTAGTTGGTCATCACCGTGCATTTAAGTTCCTACCTTTATGATGTTTCACTAAACAAAGTACAGGAGGAGCACGTTCAAATAATCAATCCAATTAACTTGTCATCAACAATCATCTTATGAACTCGTGAAGTTCTGTTCATTGTCCAGTATTGTTGTAAACACGCTGTTTTGTATGTTGGCTGTTACTGAAATAAACCTTGTATTATATTCTCATCATCTTCATCTTCCTTTGGATTGAGCGTTACAGTTGCCTCCAATAGATGTTTAAAGGGTTAGTTCACCCAAAAATGAGAATTCTGTCATTAATTACTCACCCTCATGTTATTTCAAACCCGTAAGACCTTCGTTCATCTTCGGAACACAAATTAAGATATTTTTGATGAAATCCGATGGCTCAGGGGCACGCATTCGCGAGAACACCACTTTTTGTACTTTTTGCCGTACAAAAAGTATTCTCTTCATAAAATTAAGGTTGAACCACTGTAGTCACATGGACTGTTTTAACGATGTCTTTGCTAACTTTCTGGGCCTTCAAAGTGTTAATTAAATAGCTGTCAATGGAGCCCCCCTGAGCCATCGGATTTCATCAAAAATATCTTCATTTGTGCTCCGAGGATGAACGAAGGTCTTACGGATTTGGAACGACATGAGGGTGAGTAATTAATGACAGATTTTTCATTTTTGGCTGATGTATCCCTTTAAGCAAGAATATTTTAGCATGTTTGAGCAGATTTTGCAGATAGACGATATACTGTATATATAAAGATGCCTGACTGTCTTTCTCTCTTCTCCACTTTTTTCTTTTTCTTTTTTCTCCAGCCTCATTTCCTGTGTTGGACAGGATGCCCCAGTCCACCTGTCACTCCTTTAGCTCAGATGACGGAGGTGAAGGAAGTGCTGCAGAGTCTCACGGGCTCTCGAGACGTCAGTGGATGGTCAGTGCTATTGGTATTTTGCCCCAGTTCTTAAAGCAATTAAGTGGGCAGCATCTGTAACATGCTGTCGATTACCACAGACAATTATTTCCCTTTTGTTTCTTTAAACGAACATATTTAACAAAATTTCCCCTACAGTGATCTATTGTAAGTGGACTACATTATTGTAAAGTTGTTACAGACTGAAGGACCTGAGTCTTCTTCTTCATCTCCTCCCACACAGGAGGAATTCTGTCATCCAGTCGACAGTCTGGCCTTAACAGTGGATGAGGTCATTAACGTGCGCCGGATACTTGTCAAGGCTGAGATGGAGAAATACATGCAGAACAAAGAGCTTTTTAATAATCTGAAGAAGGGCAAGGTGTGAATGTCTGTATGATTCATGGATAATTTGAGTAACATCAGTCCAACAGCCCAATGAAAACTGTGTTTGTCTTTGTTTTGTTCATCTTGTTTCTTAGATATGTTGCTGTTGTCGAGTAAAGTTTCCACTGTTTTCATGGCCGTCCAGGTGTCTCCTGTGTAAAAGGTCTCAGTTTATTTTCATAAATATTTAAATAGATATTATATATCATAGATAATAACTGGAACAAGGAATATTAACATGGTCTGATTCACTGTTTTGAACATTCAGTTGTGATTCTTTCTCTTTTAGGTCTGTCTGCAACTGTTGTAGTGCAAAGGTACTAACTATTTATTTCACATAAACCTCATTTAGCTCTATAGTAGCACATGTGTCAAACTCCACTGCTCTAGGGCTGCTGTCCTGCAGACGGTAACTCCAGCCAGCTTTAAAACACCTGCCTGGACGTTTCATCTCAAAGGCCTTGATTAGCTGGTTCAGGTGTTTATGGGCTGGAGCTGAACTCTGCAGGACAGTAGGTGAATCCCAAACAGCATTTGTGCACCCTTCAAGGGCACTTCGGGAAGGGCCGCCATTTATAGGGGCGTTCCAAAAGAAAGTGAACAACCGAATCCCTTCACGAAGGGACCTTCCACAAGTCCGTTAGCGGAGGGAACATGAGATGGTCACTTCAAGGAAGTAATTTAATCGTTTATGGTCATGTGACCCAAGGTGACCTTGTGATTCATTTTAAATCTAGTTGGAGTTAACATATAAACAGAATAATTCAATTTGTTTTGTTTTGTTTCATTTACGTCTAGAAGGTCCAACACATTGAAAGTTTCTGGGATACTGATAACTACACTAAACAAAATTATAAACGCAACACTTTTGTTTTTGCCCCCATTTTTCATGAGCTGAACTCAAAGATATAAGACTTTTTCTATGAACACAAAAGGCCTATTTCTCTTAAATATTGTTCACAAATCTGTCTAAATCTGTGTTAGTGAGCACTTCTCCTTGGCTGAGATAATCCATCCAACTCACAGGTGTGGCATACGTTCAGTGTAGGATTAACAGCCAATTCCTGTGTTTTCAATTGAAGCACTGTGTTATACTACCGGTCACAATTGTGACCGTTAACAAATGTACACGTCTTACGAGCAAAACATATATGCAGGAGTATAATTCTCAAAATATATCAGTTGTAGACCCTTTAAAGAATATATGTACAAAATATGATAGTTCTATCTGTTAAGTACATACTATTTTTTGTAGTGGTCTGAGGAAGACATCTTCTTCTAGATGTGCAAGCAGGAAGTAAACTGATCTGGTCATGTGACCTTTCACACTAGTCACATGACATTAATAGATTTTAATCAAGACAACCTATTTTATCATTTAAAAGTTGAATTTCTTGCCCAAAGTCAATAACAACATTTTTAGAGCTTCCAGAAATAATAAAGAAAATGTGGTCACAATTGTGACCGATGGGATTAAACGGGTTTTAACAGCAAAACTAAGATATTCCTGTTGTCGCTGCCTTGTGTTGTCATGGCAACGCTCCATGTGAAGCTAATGAGGAAATGATGTGGTCTTTAGTTGCTCCGTTCGCCAAGTGCTTTCCAAAATACATCGACACGCAAGTGCCCTGCTGTCTCCAAAGTCCCTCTTCTGCACAAAGGCTCTGCACTTCGCAGTGCGTAGGCCACAGGGATGCCCACTTCCCACTGGAATTTTCCCAGTGGCCCTCCGGGAACTGAGTTTGACACCCCAATATGTTTCAATGTTTAGAGTCATCCACGTAACAAAGATGTTACTTTACAACCTTGGCTATCCGCATATCATAAGTAGTTCTCGCCAAATGATCCTTGGTTCCCTTAGTCCAACTGTTTTTTCTTCAGCAAACAGGTTTGACATTGGACGCTGTATAAAAGTTGAGAAAAAAAAAGTTCTTATGTAGTTCATGGTCATAAATTAATGTAAATGCTGATAAGATCAATAGTATGCTAAACTAATAGCATGACAGTGCATTTTCCGGTGGACGACAGTGAGGAAACCTGTTAACTGGCCTAAAAATTCCAGAAACAGTACAATCTTTACTGGCCTGAAATCATATTTTTATATTTATGGTTTTTTTTTTAGTTATCTATATCTATTTATTTAACATTTTCTGTACCCAGTGAAGCTAGGTTATCAAACTCCATGAGTGATTTTGCTTTAATTTGTCCTTTTAACAGATGAAGATTCCCTACAAAAAGATGGCACACATTCCAGTGTACACTGTGGGATTTCACAGCAGTGCGAGGAGTCACAAGAGTGATGTCTATAAGTGAGTAAATATATACTATGTCTAAGTTAAAGGATTACAGCCACATTCCACACTGGGAACAGTCTGTGCTCACATCCTAAAAGAAATGTTAACTGCTTGTTTGTTATTCGCCCCACAGTTTAAAACACAAAATAGGCCTATAGGCTACTTCCATATATTACTGTAGTCAGGGCTTGTCCAGTAAGCAGTTGATGTGGGTTAAAATCAGTTTAACAATCAAAACATATCAGCCTGTAGTCGCTGGTGATTACCAGTGTTTTACAAGTCAAATTGACACAACTTTGCATAAGTAGGAGACTTTACTTATGTCGATAGCATTCTGACTCAACCTTCTCATTACACTCACTAATTAGTGCTCTGAAAAAAAAAAAAGGATTTTTCGAAGTTGTAAATAAAACAAAGATTATTGTGGTTTCAGAAAATACAGTTTCAGACTTTCTACTTCAAAGTTTCATGTTTAATTGAATGTGTTACTTAGCCTGGTTAAAACCAGACCATTCTCAGTTGTAACTGAGTTATGGTCTGGCAAAGCGTCATAGACAAATCATTTCCAGAGGGGCGTCACCAACGGACGTCGCGGATAGACCTAAAACCAATCAGAGCGATGAAGGAGATGATGTATGCAGAGCGGCGGAGACACAAAGTGTTGTTCTTTGCTCGGTTTTTAACAGAAAGGAAACGTTCAAATCGCTTAAAACAGACGTGATAGCTGATTCGAACGAGTGATGTTAGACGGCGGCATCCATCTTTGTAATGTAGGCTACAAAATCTGCTTCAAAATCCCAGCGCTGTCGTCATCGTGTAAAGCCCGCCCCAACGTTTCTGATTGGTGCCTCGATTTTGACGGATTGGAAATGGGCTTGAATGAGCTCTTTGCCAGACTAACTTTCAGAGCAAATCTAAATTTGCCAGAAGTAGTCTGGGTTTTCCCAGGCTATGTGTTACTCGCAGTTTCTTTGTAATTGTTACATTTCCTAGCAATTTCTGAGTGAAAATTGTTTCTACTACACCATTTGTTTTTCAGTGTGGTGTTCAGCATGATTATTGCTTTTATTTAGGCTTTGAAAAAGCAATACAAACCCTAAGTAAAATTCTATGGAATGCCAAAGCTGACTTAATGAAAAATAAATAAATACATAAATAAATATACGAATAAATGTAAAAAAGCAAAAATACATAAATAAATACACAAATAAATATACAAAGAAATGGAAAAAAGTACAAATAAATGAGTATTTATACTTTTATTTTACTTATTTATGTATAATTGTATTTTTTCACAGATTTTTTATTTTTTTTATTTATACATTTATACATTTATTCATTTCCACTTTTATTTATTTCCACATTCATTTATGTATATTTGTTTTTATGTGTACATTTATTTATTTTCACATTTATTTATTTCCACATTTATTTATTTCCACATTTATTTATTTCCACATTTCTTTGTCCGTATGCTAATGAGGGGGGCGTGTTTTACCTCAGACATCAGCAATCGAGCTCAGAGTGGCAAAGCTTTGAGGCCACAGTTACACCTTGTGGTGTGTGACCAAACGAAACGCAAGAGGTGTGCGGACAATATCACATTTTAAGTCATGTATATCACCCTAACTTTATGTAGGGTAGGCTATATAGGGTTAACACACATAGCACACATGAACAGAAACTGCACTTCAACGGGTCTGATAGCAGACACTTGGACATGGAAGCGCATGAAAGTATCCACTATTAATAACAATGTAAACGCGGTGGATAGGGCTGATAAGAGCTTGCGTTTATTGTCGATGAGACTCGCACACCAGCGCAGAACGCGGAGAGAAACCAGCACACATTTCACTGACTCCTACGCAAGCATATTGATCAATGAGTTTGAAACGCGACTCAATACACGGTTTACATTCGCGTTTCATAATTTCGTATGCATAACAGGTGACAATTCAAATGCTTAAAACACAACCCATATTTCATAGATGCTGCTCTTAGATAGTGATTAATCACAAGTCATCAATTTGGAATTATTCTTAAATCAAACAAAAGGGGCTCATGTAAACGCAGCTAGTGAGCCACGCATCTCACCCCATGCAGTGGAGGACAGAAGCATCATCATGCCCATTCAAACAGCACCTGTCGTGCCCATGGTCGTGCTGATATTTCCCC